GTTCAGTTGTGTAACCAGACATGGTTAATTGTGAGAACCTGTGTTCAGTTGTGTAACCAGACGGGAGGGGGGGAATTAGGAGTGGGTGTTAACATCTTCTGGGAAGTTCCATCAAGGGAGATTCCTGACTGGAGAAACCACCTGGTGCCAGAGGGCAAAAGACCATAATAAGGTTATAGGCCAGGGAGACGCCATAGTAACCTTTTGCTTGTGCTGTGCCAGTGTGCTTTGATCTATTCAGGTGGGGCAGCCGTATTGGTCTGAAGCAGCAGAACAAAGTCTGAGTCCGGTGGCACCTTTAAGACCGACCAAGTTTTATTCAAGGCATGAGATTTCGTGTGCACGCACACTTCCTCAGATACATTGAAATGGAAGGTAACGGTTCATTAATATATAGATATATACCTTGAATAAACCTTTGTTGGTCTTAAAGGTGCCACTGAACTATAAATCCAGGTGGTCAGCCGTGTTGGTCTGAAGCAGTAGGACAAATTTTAAGACCAACAAAAGTCTACTCAGGGTATGAGCTTTTGTGTGCAAGGCACACTTTTTTCGAATCCATTGGAATGGTAGTTCCAGATGGTCAGGCGTGTTGGTCTGAGGCGGCAGAACAAATTTAGACTCCAGTGGCACCCTTAAGCATGGCTATTTTTGGGCAGGAACGCACAGGAACGGAGTTCCGGCTGGCTCCCAAGTTGGCCACGCCCAGCAGGAACTCATTAGCATAATAGGCCACACCCAACAGCAGAAACTCATTAGGATTGGCTACATTAGGGGTGTGTGGCCTAACATGCAAAGGAGTCCCTGCTACAAAAAAAGGCCCTGGGTTTTGACAACAAACAAGGTAAACAGAATAACAAGCAAAAGGTGGGTGTGGCTGGATAACCACACCTCTGTTAACATGGGGGAGCGGCCTAATGTGCTAATGAGCTGTGCTGTCAGGGGTGTGGCCCAACATGCTAATGAGTTTCTGCTGTTGGGTGTGGCCTATTATGCTAATGAGTTCCTGCTGGGCTTTTTCTACAAAGAGCCCTGCCCTTAAGACCAACAAAGGTTTATTCAAGGTATGAGCTTTCGTGTGCAATATATTTGAAAAAGTGTGCATGCACACAAAAGCTCATACCTCGAATAAACCTGTGTTGGTCTTAAAGGTGCCACTGGACTCTAAATTTAGTTCTGTTGGAGTGGTAGGTAAGGTTCAAACTTATGGACAGGGACGTAACAGGGAATTAACATGTTGCATGATGATGTCTAAACTCTGCAAAGTCAGAAATAAATAACAAGCGAAGGTTATAAGGTCAACAGTTGTAAACCTTTAGACGTTTTACCTGCTATTTTGACACACTTATTGCTTTACAGCTGTTGACCTTATAACCTTAGCTTGTTATTTAGTTTTGACTTTGCAGAGCTTAGACATCATCATGCAACATGTTAATTCCCTGCCTATAAAGTCTGAACCATACCTACCCTTCCAATGTATTTGAAAAAGTGTGCCTTGCACACAAAAACTCATACCTTGAATAACACTTGGTTGGTCTTAAAGGTGCCGCTGGACTCTAAATTTGTGCTACTGCTTCAGACCAACACGGTTGACCACCAAGAACTATGCTACACCATGATGGACCGCTACGTATAAGAACAAACATAAGAACATAAGAGAAGCCAATGTATTATTTATTTATTTTATTATTTAATTCAGTTTATACCCCGCCCTCCCCGCAATGCAGGCTCAGGGCGGCTTACAAGTGGCAAACACCAATATAAAACAACTTTAAAAACATTTATAAATCCCACAGTACAAAAGCATTCATAACAATCAAAGACTGGAGTGCTCTAGATGTTCAACATAATATCAGATGGCATTTTTTATAACTGTTCAGCCTCATCTGCTCCAGGGACTGATGTTGTTCACCTCATCCAGGGCCAGGTAGAGATGGAATAGCGGTGATGTTAGTGGTGGCTCCTACTCATACGCCTGGTGGAAGAGCTCCGTCTTACAGGCCCTGCGGAACTGCATGTAGGATCAGACCAATGGCCCATCCAGTTCAACACTGTCACATAATTGCCAAAAATGCCAGCTGCCATCAGGAGGTCCAGCGGTGGGGTCAGGACACTAGAAACCCTCCCACTGTTGCCCCCCCCACCAAGCATAAAGAGCATCACTTGCCCCAGACCGAGAGTTCCTATCGATACCTTGAGGCTAATAGCCACTGATGGACCTCTGCTCCATAGCTTTATCCAATTCCCTCTTGAAGCAGTCCATGCTTGTAGCTGCCACCACCTCCTGTGGCAGAGAATTCCATGTGTTATAGAATTGGTTTAAGCCACAGCTTGGACTCTTATGCTCCAATATCAGGTCCCAAATGTATTAGATAGAAAGTTGGCTTTTTAATTTCCCTGTTGCTAAGCTGTAGAGACTGTACTGCATAACGATATCCTTTTTTAAACTGTTCAATAAACCTTTATATATTTTTTTACAAAGGTCTGCTTTATTTTGTGTTCATTTAACCTTGAGGACCCCCAGGGCTGAGAGCAGCTCAGGTAAAAAAAGGAGTGGTGATCCGGGAGGGCCAGGCTTGAGTCTCTGACACCTACCTTGCAGGGTGGTTGTGAGGATAATCTAGAGAATGTAGTAACCAGTGCTTGCTCTAAGCTGTGGAGTCTTGTGAGCAAAAATTCCGCGTTGTGAGCTTCTGCCATTAAAGTTGTGAGCAAGCGATTTGGCCACTGCATAAATTAGTTTGCTCCAGAGCCATCCTTCCTGAGCTAAGAGAAAAATGGGTGAACCAGCTCACACTAACTCAGCTTAGAGGGAACACTGGTGGTAACGTACTTTGTGTCCTCTTTGGGAGAAAAGTGGGACCTAAAGTTTAAAAAAAATAAATTGAAAACTGCTGGGGATCATGGGATGTATATGTTCAAAGGCCAGGCGTGACAGGGCTAGAATAAGGAGGGAGATTTGGGAAGATGGAGTGAAAAAGCCTACTGGATCCAGCCTTTTTGTCTCTGATGACTTTTCAGCTGTCGCTCTGAGCCAGACATGGGGGGGGGGCGACCAAAATAATGTTAAAAATGTTTATAAAAACAGAAAGATTTGTTTGTGCACTCTATCTGGCTGAGTAAATGGGCGGAGGAATCTTAGCCACATTCCTGTGTTTTCTGTTGTTAAACTTTGTCATTTCTGACCTGGGGGGAGAAGAGAGAAAGGTTTTCTTGAGCCAGAGATTGAGGAGGAGCCAAGTTGCCTTTTCATTTCTGGTGGGGCTCGTGCAGATTACTCGAAGAGCTGCATCTGCACACAACTGGCAGAGCATTATTGCCATTCCATTCCAGGGGAAAGTTCTTTAACTCAGTTTTCTGCTTTTATTTTGATTTTTTTTTTTAAATTTCTTCTCACAAACTTATAAAACCCATGAAGGACAAGACAGCAATCCAACAGGAAAATATATGGGCCCTTGCTATATCTATACTGATCTGTCTGCACACACGTACACACACACATATACTGGGTTTAAAAAAAAACACCCCACAATGAGGAATTTTCCCAGTGGGTCTGTGGACTTCAGGTGTGTCTAGGGTGGGAGCTGCTTTGTGCAGACCTAAAAATGAAGTGGAAACAAAGATAAGCGGGGGGTGGGAACAAGCAGTTCTGTTTTCAGTTTATCTGCACAGACAGATAAACACAATCACCCTTCTGGAATTATCACAGGAACTGAAAGGGTTAAAATCAGTGTTTCTGCTGCTTTAGTAAATAAATCCTAACCAGGATGGTGAAGAACGAGTCACTCTGGTGAAAGGGGGGGGGGGGTCTCCAAAAATTGGGCGAGTGGGCAGCAATGTGGTAAATGAAGTTCAGTATTGATAAGTGTAAAGTGATGCACACGGGAATGAAATATCCCAACTTCAAGAATGTGTGATTGGTTTTGAACTTGCTGAAACTGAGGAAAGAGACTTCGAGGGTCCTCAGTGGATACCGCCATGAAAATATCCCCCCAGCGTGCAGCAGCAGCAAAAAAGGCAAACTCTGTGCCAGAGGTCATTAAGAGAGGGGATCATAACGACAGGCATAGACAGCTTTAAAAGGGACAGAATCGTGGAGGAGAGATCTATCGGGGTGGCTAGTAGCCTTGTCTCACAGCTGCCTGGGGGGGAGGAAGAGCCGAAGGGGGGGGGGGACGAACGAGATTCTCCCCCTCTTACCCGCCATGATGTGCCGGCAGCCGGAGGGAAAAAAGCAGAATGCCATCGATCTTTTGCCTCTTGAGTCGGGGGGGAGGGGGCCGCTTCTTGCATAGCACTCAGTGGTAACTCTATTACCAGTGATCAATCCAAGGTTTTCCTTAATTAGCTACACACAAGAACTTTTCCCCCTCCCCACCAGCAAAAAGTCTCATTTCCCAGTATACTTCCCCTCCCCCTTCTTAAAGTTGGTCCAGACAAAAGCACCAAAACCAGAGTAACAAAATATGAGACTCAGAATTTATCTCATTCTAATCTTTGGTCCTTTCTTGTGGGAAGTCCTTCTTCTTGTTTGAAAAAAATATGTCACTGTGGGGATTCCATTAAAGAAGGCTGCACCTGGATAAAATTTGTCAGAACAGGGAGTTTCCTTTCATGTCTTTTAACTAAAAAAAAATTAAATGCTCTGGGGGGTTCCCAAACACAAATTAAAGTGACATGCGGAAAAAAAAAAAATTAGCAGAGGATGGTTTCGATCCATCGACCTCTGGGTTATGGGCCCAGCACGCTTCCGCTGCGCCACTCTGCTGCACGACCTCAAAGGGCGTTTTGTTACACAAAGACACCACGGCTTCAGAGCATGCAGCATTAAACCATTAACATTGGTCAAGCTTAAAATGCATATACAAAAGGGACTCACATAATCAGCAGCACGATTCTATTTCACAATTTGCCACACTGTAAAAGCAAGAACGCGAAGTAATCAGCCTTTTTAGCGAAAAAGTGGGTGGTCCTGAAAAGGACCTTTGGTGTGGGTTAAATTTTAAAGGCGCCTCTTAGCCCCCGAAGCCGTAGAGAGTGCGGCCCTGGCGCTTGAGGGCGTAGACCACGTCCATGGCAGTCACCGTCTTCCTCTTGGCGTGCTCGGTGTAAGTCACAGCGTCGCGGATCACGTTCTCCAGGAAGACCTTCAGCACCCCGCGGGTCTCCTCGTAGATGAGGCCAGAAATGCGCTTCACTCCTCCGCGCCGAGCAAGACGGCGAATCGCAGGCTTGGTAATGCCTTGGATGTTATCACGGAGTACCTTACGGTGCCTCTTGGCGCCTCCTTTCCCCAAGCCTTTACCGCCTTTGCCACGGCCAGACATCTTTTCAGCAACAAAAAAACTGCCGAAAGTAGAAAAAAACCAAAGAACTGTTCTTTTAAGTAAGAAGAAGTCGGACCAGAATGAAAACATCACAGGGCCCCGCCTCCTAAGTGTCTGACAAATTTGGCGGGCGAAATTAGTTCTATCCAATCCAAGATCAGCTTCGGTTTTCAAACGAGCCAATCAGCATCTGGGCTTCCTTATTCGAAATAAAAACATTGCTGGCGTCTTTCTTAACATTTCTCCGCTTAGATAGGAGCTTTATATGGCCAAAATATTGTTTGTAATTTATTCCTTTCTTATTTCACTGACATGGCTGGTGGCGAGTTACAGAAAGCAGAAACATAAAGAGTGAAATGGTGCACGAGGTGGGGAAATAAGTTATTATTTTCAGGTTCGGTGCAACGGAGAAACACTGTAGAACAACTATAGGTCATGGCACCACAGCCTCTCCTTATCACTGTTCATAGAGACGGGAAAAGATTGTGAGGAATGCTAACAGCTTTGTTTCATAGAAAGCAAAAGCCTTTGTAGTATTCTGTACCTTTGTACCATTCTGTATTTTTTGTACCCATATGCTTGGGAAAAATCAACTCCAGCTCTTGTGGGTGGGGGGTGGGGGGGAGGGATGGCAAGATCTTCATTGACATGTCAAAGACAGCTCTGCAGGTAATAAATGTGTTAGCCTTCCAAGGTGTAACAACATTCTCTTGCAATCTTTGTTCCACATCTGCTGCCTCCTCTGAAATCTTCACAGAAGGCATTTCTTAGGCTTCCTTGGTTCATATTTCTTACAGATAGGAATTGTGGGCTTTTTGCTTTTTTTGGCATGCCTTTTCCTGTCCACTAAACTTCCAGCCTACCAGTCCTGGAGAACACAAAGACTTGTACGCATTGTTTTATGGTATGTCAAGTGGGTCCACAACTATAACTGTCCCAAACTATAGATTCAGGCTGGTAGCTGTGTTGGCCTGAAGCAACAGAACAATGTTTGAATCCAGTGGCACCTTTAAGACCTTGCTTATTTAATATATATGCAGAGTACATCATGAGAAATGCTGGTCTGGATGAATCACAAGTGGGAATTAAGATTGCTGGGGAAAAGATCAACAACCTCAGATATGCAGACGATACCACTCTAATGGCAGAAAGTGAAGAGGACCTAAAGAGCCTCTTACTCGGTGTAAAAGAGAGTACAAAAGTGGGCTTGAAGCTCAACATCAAAAAAAAAACCCCCACTAAGACCATGGCATCCAGCCCCATCACTCCTTGGCAAATACTGTGTTTCCCCGAAAATTAGACACTGTCTTATATTTATTTTTTCTCAAGAAGACACACTAGGGCTTATACCACAAATGCATAGAAATCCTGCTAGGGCTTATTTTTGGGGTATGTCTTATTTTCGGGAAAACAGGGTAGAAGGGGAAGTTGTGGAAGTCGTGACAGACTTCACGTTCCTGGGATCCCAGAGCACTGCAGACTGTGACAGCAGCCATGAAATTAAAAGACGCCTGCTCCTTGGGAGGAAAGCGATGGCGAACCCAAACAGCATGATAAAAAGTAGAGACATCACCCTGCCAACAAAAGTCCGCATGGTCAAAGCAATGGTATTCCCAGTAGTCATGTATGGCTGCAAGAGTTGGACTATAAGGAAGGCAGAGTGCCGAAGAATAGATTCTTTTGAACTATGGTGCTGGAGAAGACTCTTGAGAGTCCCTTGGACTGCAAGAAGATCCAATCAGTCAATCCTAAAAGAAATCAAGCCTGACTGTTCCCTGGAAGGCCAGATAATGAAACTGAAGCTCAAATACTTTGGCCACCCAATGAGAAGGGAGCACTCACTGGAGAAGACCCTGATGCTGGGAAAGATTGAAGGTCAAAGAGGACGGGGACAGCAAAGGATGAGATGGTTAGACAGTGACATAGATGCAACGAACATGAAGTTGAGCCAACTTCAGAGGACGGTGGAAGACCGGAAGGCCCTGCGTGATCTTGTCCATGGGGTCGCGAAGAGTCGGACTCGACTGTGCGACTGAACAACAACATAAGCTTTCTGTATCTGAAGAAGCATGCATGCACACAAAAGCTTATACCCAGACTGAAATTTTTGTTGGTCTTAAAGGTGCCACTGGACTTAAATTTCCAAAGATGCCGTTGGACTCAGATTTCTTCCATCCCAAACTATGTATTTTGGATTTTATTTGCTTACATTATTTATTGTCCAACCTTTGTTATTGGGATTCAGTTGATCATACAGAATAAGTCGACAGGGTGGAACATCCTGCAATAGCATTTGCTCTAGGGAAATTTATATGCCCCCAGAGATGAAGCAAAAAAGTATTAAAATGCCATGTTAAATGAATGTACATATGACAGTGTAGGAACATACTTAGAGCAACAGATAGTACTACAAACCATACACAGTAGTATAGTGTACAGTCAAAAATCCTTTACCTCAAGCTTCTTTCTGAACCAGATTATAACAGAAGCGCAATAAACACCGTGTGAAACAATCCAGTAAACAATATAACAATAACAATATTTGTTTGTGTGTGTGTGTATATATTATTATTATATATATAATAAATTCAGTAAGTCAATAGCCATGGCACAATGAGCATACATATATACCAACTGGTGTTAATTCTCACAAGCAAAGTCTCGTTAATTCTGTTGACAGAATGAAGCCGTCAACGTGCTCCTCCGGACTGTAAATAAGCAGTTTCAGTTGAACTTCCTCAGGACTGCAAACAGACTGGAACTGCCCCACCCACACAAAGGAAAAATACAATAAGAATATAACAATTACAACATAGAAAACATACAATAATAATACAACATCAGAGTGCTCAATTAATTCAGCTCACCCAAAGCTGACTAGAAGCCTATAATTGGGTTAAACATTATTACAGTGCAGCCCTATTTCCTGGGCAAAAGGCCTTCTTGAAGAATTCAGTTTTGCAGAGATTGCAGAAACCCCAGGAGTGGGAACCTTTCTCACTTCATCAGGCAGGCCATTCCACAAGGCAGGGGTCACAACAGAGAAAGCACATGTCCGGGCAATTGTTCGTTTTTCAGGATGGCACCCAAAGAAGGCCCTGTTCAGATGGACAAAGCTGCCATGGCAGAACAGCAGACCTGAGGAACCAAGTCATGAAAGGCTTTGCATGTCATAACTAGAGAACCTTCAGTTAGGGCTGGTCACTGATATGCAACCAGGGCAGTGACTGCAGAGTGGGAGTCATATGCATGCTCTGTCTGGCTCACAATGATAACTGAGCTGCAGCATTCTGTACCAGCTGGGGTCTTTGAAATGACTTCAAGAGATTTATGCAGAGCACATTTCAGTAGTCCAGTCTGGATGTTATTGTGGCATGGCTCCAGGAGGCCAGATCAGTGGAGTGAAGCCGGGGCCCATTTTCTGTGCTAAACTGAGTTAGAAGACAGTGTATTTTGCAGCTGCATTAGCTTGCTGCTCCAGCAGTAATGCTGGATCCATTTACAAGACTCTTGACTGAGTCACCAAGGGCCAGCCAAAACCCATCAAAAGTGGGCAGCACAACATTCTCCAGGACCTCCACCTTTGCAGCCATGGATCAACAACACTGCCTGTAATGCATATCCTTGTAAACTTCCCTGTTTCCTGGTAGATTTCTTGTGTCTGTACAAATATTAAGCATACACATGCAAAAAGGATAGGCTTTTTCATGGGCAAATATGAACATTGTCTTTGCTTTTTCATGGGTAAATATGAACATTGTCTTGAAGTCCTTACTAGCAAATTAATGTAGTACTAAGTCACATGGAACTTCCTGAAAACTCTCAAGAATTGAGGGAAGAAAACACAGCAATGAGTATTTTCTCCCAAGAGCCTTGAAGGAAGGTCAGAATTCGAAACAACCCCACCCACCCCCACACACAAAACTTGGCATGGAAAAATCCTACCAGCTCATTCAGGTCTGTGTACACAATTATACACACACACACAAACAAAAAGCAGTAATATATTCTTCAAAGTGGATCGGCTTAAACTTGTTTTACAGTAGCTTCAAAGTTCATAATTGTAGCAAAACAATGGAACCTAGCTGCAATTTTGAAGATGAACAGAATTATACCACCTGTAGCAGGGGAATATGCAGTTCTCCAGGTACCTTCCAACATTCAACTCCACTTCCCCTCTAAGAGTGCTAAAATGTTGCCAATATAACAAGCATGCTTGCAAGAAACTTGCTACAACTTTAAAAAGTGCACGCTCAGTACTCAGAATTCCTTTAGAACGCTAATTTAACTACCAAGATAGAGATTATGCTGAATGCTTTAGCAGCAGCTTCATTAAGCCAGCTACTATTTTAAGCAAATATTATCGGTTTGACACCCACAGTAAGTGAAGTTGTATCAGCTTATTTAGTAGACATAAATCATAGATAGCTTTAAAGTGACAATGGCACTTTTCTGAGAAAGTGGGTGGCTCTTAAAAGAGCCTTTGGGTTTTAGGTCTGCAGTTTTTGATCTCCGGGAAAACTGGATTATTTGGAGCTGGTGTACTTGGTGACGGCCTTGGTGCCCTCGGAGACGGCGTGCTTGGCCAGCTCCCCGGGCAGGAGGAGGCGCACGGCCGTCTGGATCTCGCGGGAGGTGATGGTGGAGCGCTTGTTGTAGTGGGCCAAACGGGAGGCCTCAGCAGCGATGCGCTCGAAGATGTCGTTGACGAAGGAGTTCATGATGCTCATGGCCTTGGAGGAGATGCCGGTGTCCGGGTGGACCTGCTTCAGCACTTTGTACACGTCGTAGATGGAGTAGCTCTCCTTGCGGCTCTTCTTGCGCTTCTTGTCCCCCTTCTTCTGCGTTTTGGTGATCGCCTTCTTGGAGCCTTTCTTGGGGACGGGCGCAGACTTCGCGGGCTCGGGCATCCTGACAGGCTCACACTTAACCTCCAACACCAGCCTAACAAAGCAAAGTGAGTAAAGCGAGAGGCGCCCTCGTCCTTCGATTTATATGGCTTTTGTGCAACTCAAAGAACCCCGGGCTCCCCTTTCCCATTGGCTACTTGAGCCAACCCGCGGGACAAAGAACAAGTCACGTTTCCTCTTTACCAACAGGCACAGGCTCGCAGCGCTCACCCAATCGTCACAACGGATGACGTTAGATACTCGCGTTTTCATTGGGTCCCGCGAGGATCCGCGTTCCCATTGGTCACCATGACTCGTATTCAAGATTGAGCCAATAGAGAGTCGCAGATTGTAGCTGGGGAGGAAATAAATAGGCTGGGGGCGATGTGCTAACCTTGTATCTTTCGTGGGTTGCTGGAGTCTCGTGTATTTTTTTTCCTAGTTCTATTGCCTGAATCAAGATGTCTGGACGTGGAAAGCAGGGAGGCAAAGCCAGAGCAAAGGCCAAGACCCGCTCTTCTCGGGCCGGGCTGCAGTTCCCCGTCGGCCGCGTTCACCGTCTGCTAAGAAAGGGTAACTATGCGGAGCGCGTCGGGGCCGGGGCGCCCGTGTACTTGGCGGCGGTGCTGGAGTACCTGACGGCCGAGATCCTGGAGCTGGCGGGGAACGCGGCCCGCGACAACAAGAAGACCCGCATCATCCCGCGCCACTTGCAGCTGGCCATCCGCAACGACGAGGAGCTCAACAAACTCCTGGGGAAAGTCACCATCGCCCAGGGGGGCGTCCTGCCCAACATCCAGGCCGTCCTCTTGCCCAAGAAGACCGAGAGCCACAAAGCCAAGGCTAAGTAATTTGCAACTCTTTCAAAAAGCTGTCGCCCAGGAGGCAAAACAAAACGACATCACAAAGGCTCTTTTAAGAGCCACCCACAACCTCAAGGAAAGAGCTGGTTTACTCCTTACTTTTGTATTTCTCCTTTAAAGTTGGTGGTTGGACTTCCAGCAAAGGCTGAGTTTTCGATGTTCGCCTTTGGCCGTAGCGCAACGTGCCCACGTGCGTTTCCTCGAAACTATTGAGGTAGTGGCTTTGGGCATGGTGGGACCATGTGCTGGGAACCCGTGTCGTTGCCGTGTTTTCCGGTAGATGCTTTGGGGCTGGGTTCCCGGGCAGTTGTGAGGTTTTTGTGGACTGGTCGAAGGGGTTAGTCGCTCGCTTTGGTGAAATCAGCCAAGATAGGTAGCCATGTTTGTCTAGCAGTAGAAAAGAGCAAGAGTCCAGTTGTACCTTAAAGACTAAGAAAATTTGGGGCAGGGGATGCGCTTTCATGAGCCACTGCACACAAAGTTTGCAGAACAGTACTGTAAAGTTCCTCCAGGAGCCTTTGGCTTGTGAATATGATGGCTAGGAAACGGGAATAGTATCCGCCACATTGTAGAGGCCAAAACAAGTTTGTAACACTGTAACTCATGGGTAGGTAGGAACAAAGTAACCCCCTGCTTTGTTAATATTAAGTAGTAAAATACTGCCTGGCTACTTATTCCTGGTGAAAGAGCCTTAATGATATTGCTATGTAGCCGAAATAGCTCAGTTGGGAGAGCGTTAGACTGAAGATCTAAAGGTCCCTGGTTCGATCCCGGGTTTCGGCAGGCCTTTTAATGCTCATTCTATTTTGCTTACTGTTTAGACTTCCCTTAATTTGGGGGGGGGGGGGGGAGCTGTGTCCGTCTGCAGTAGAACAATTGGATTTGAGACCAGTAAGATGTCCGGGTATGAGCTTTGGAGGGTCCTGTGACTCTCTGAAACTTATAACTTAAAACTCTTGCCACTCTCTTAAGGTGCTAATGGACACAAATCTAACCAATTCCCCTAGGGGTATTTTTGCTTCTCTTCATGGGAGGCAGAAGTCTGGAGACAATAAGGCAGGTAGATGTTGCCTCATCAACTGCAGGTTTTTGAATCATGATCAAGCTCATTAGGCAGGGATGCAGATCACAATCACTAATGCCTGCTGCTACTTGATTTCTTGGTACACAAGTCAGTGTTGTCAGTTGTTTAACAGGAATGTTAAAACTGTGTATCAGTTAGATACATGTCTGAGTATGCAGGTGCTTAGTAGGCTGAAATACTTGCTTTTGTTCCACACAAACTCTAAACCCCAGTTGTATCCTGTCTCCCTCATCCAATGAACCACCAGTGGAGCATGAAGGACCAATTCTTGATCTCAAAGCCAATGTTGTGGTTAGAATGTTGGACAAGGTTCTGCGGGACTCAACATCAATTCCCTACTCTGCCATGGAAATTTGCTGGTTGACCTTGGGCTGGTCACACATGCTCAGCGTAACCTACCTTGCAAGGTTGTTGTGAGGATAAAATGAAGGAGAGGAGAACGGTGGAGGCTGCTTTGGGTCCCTGCTGGGAGGGGGAAAGGCGGGGTATAACTGAAGTCAATAAAGATGAAATGTTTGCTTCCTAACATTCACTTTCTTATTTAGGACACTTTTTAAAATGTCTGCCTTTCCAGGAACCTGATTGAAATGGTGCACAAAATAATTTTTAAAAAAACACAAAACATTAAAAGATGCTAATTAAGATCTGTTGTTTTTAAGAAAATTCCAGCCTGGCATAAAAATGGATCATAAACACAGACTATCAACATCTTAAAATAACAGATTCTGAACTAAACTTGTGCTAAAAAAATCACTCCCTTATTTAAAAGCATCCCAAAGCGAGGGGCCACTACTGAAAAAGCCCTGTCTCTGGTTGCCAAGCGCCTCACTTCTGAAGGTGTGGGCACAGACAGCAGAGCTTGTGAATCAGATCCTAACTGGTGGGCTGGACAATGTGGGAGGCTGCATGAAAGTTATTTCTTGAGAGAGATGTGGACCAATGCACGTACTTAGTAAAGAAGAAAAGGCCAGGTTCTCATCGCCATACAGAATGTAAACAAGACCAAAACAGCATGTAGGTGTATAATATTAGACTGTCATAAAAACAAATAAATTATTTTCCAGGGTTTGTTCTTTTTTCTTTGTTTTAATATCCACTTGTTGGCTGGTTTTGGTGACCAGGACACCTTCACTGCCCCGCTGCTGGACCTCCTGATGGCACCTGGTATTTTTGGCCACAGTGTGACAGAGGGTTGGACTGGATGGGCCACTGGCCTGATCCAACATTGGCTTCTCTTATGTTTTTAAATAATAAAAAAGCCAATTAAAATAAATATATTCTTATTATTCAATTTCTGGGTTGCCCCATTCCTGAGTACACAGGGGAATAATCTAGAGTAGGTGACTTATCACTGGAGCAGGTTCCTAGCAGACAAGACAATCCTTTAGATCAGGGGAACCCAACATGATACCCATGGCACGTGCCAACACATTTCCTAGCACTGGCTAAAAGATTTTAGGAAGTGCGTGGGTGTGGGTGAGGGTTTTGCTTGGCGATTGGAGATTTTATTGGCTGTGCAGATTTTTTTAAAGTGTTGCTTTGGTAAGCAGCTGCCACCACGGCACGATGATCTTTGCTGTGTGACTGAAGGTAAATGGCAGTAGACATTTGTGGCTTCACCCACCACCACACTGTGTCAGAATTCCAAGGGTGCCCACAGGCTAAGAAAGGCTGGGGACCCCTGCTTTAGATTGCTCAATCCCAGACCAGTTAGGGCTTTAAAGGTCAAACCAGCAGGTTGAATTAGAATACAAGAGGACTCCTGCTGGATCAGACCCATAGTCCATCTAGTCCAGCATCCTGTTTTGCACAGTGGCCAACAAAACAGCGGCTAACCAGTTGCTCTGGAGGAGCTAGGAAACCCGGCAAAGAGGCTGAGGCCTTCCCATAACCCGATGTTGTCTTCTACTATCTGAGGACTTCTCCTGATGTTGCCTCTTAATGGCACACTGACTTTCAAGCATTTATGGAGCTTTCCTCTGCTCACTATGCCTAGTAGTCATGGTGGGACTTTTATTTATTGCTATCAAGACACAGCTAATTCATGATTTGCCATTGCCTGCCTCTGATCTTCCTTGTCAGTCTCTCATCCAAATACTAACCAAGACCAACCCTGCTTAGTCGTCAAGATCTGATGAAATCAGGCTAGCCTGAGCTAACCAAATGGGAGAACCTCTCCTCAAATAATTGGTCTACCCTCGACTTTTAAAATCCCCTTACAATGTTGTGTCCTGCAACATTTTCACCCAATGGGCACCTTCGGAGTTTTGACACAGGGTGGTGGGGGTGCAGCCACTAAAATGGCTTCCAGAGGAGATGGGGCCCAACACCGAGTGGCAGGGAGCAAGGTTATGCATTACTCCTGTACTAGTCCTTTGACAGTTAAGGCAGAAATGCTGTTTAACAGGATGCCTTCTAATCAGCACAGCCAGTCAGAAACCCTGCTGGGCACAAGCCCTGCCTGTTTCTAAAATCATTTGACAGAAGCCAAGAAAAGTGTTGGTGGGCACCAAGTTGGTAGCAGTGGAGCAGGCAGGCTACAGCAAACACCTAATTCAACAGAAAACAACAACAGCCCTTTATCAATCATCTATCCCAGCGAAATAATCTGGTAAATAAAGAGCATACATGTGACAGAAAAGTCAACGTCCCTGGGTGGGCTCGAACCACCAACCTTTCGGTTAACAGCCGAACGCGCTAACCGATTGCGCCACAGAGACTCCTATAAGAATGATTTTTCTACGTGTTTGGACAATTGTGCTGCCGTTTAATGCATTTATTAATGTTCACCTTCAGCAATCAGTCTCCGGTCGTGATTCGTGCCCCAGTTTCTTTCCATATAGGACCCGAATATTTATTCTATAATATCTCCTATAGCCGTTCATCAACATAGCTGCGTTTAATATCAATACTTTAACTTAAACGTTTACTTTTAAAATGGTAAAAAATAAACTAAATTCTAAACATTCCCACACAAGCCGATCGCTATCTCTTACATGCTGACAGGCTTCATTTCCTTCGGACATTTTCAATTGCTTTCCAAAACAAAAACAGAATAATTCTTTGTGAAAAAAATGGGCTCGTCCGGGATTTGAACCCGGGACCTCTCGCACCCGAAGCGAGAATCATACCCCTAGACCAACGAGCCACCTTCGTCTACAGCTTCCTGTAATTGACTTTTTACAGTTGCGACAGATACAGTGATGCCAGGATGTGGCTTTGTTTGGCGAGCGAGATTTTACTTCGCTAACTTCCCTTCCGCCGTTTCGCAATCCTTCTCTCACGTCGCCCCACCCACCCGGACGGCTATCAGAAGAGATATGATGTGTTAAGCGTATTCTTACACGACCCATTTTGAATAGGAGGTGAGGGTCAAGCCGCTAAAACTTTTCCACTGCCATTTAAAATTAACCAGATGGGATTTAGAGAACCTTTCCGGAAATAGCAGCCTGAGTAGAGCATCAGGGATGCATATAAATCACCAGGCCGCCTTGGTATCCTGTTCCATGGGCAAATTCATGCTTCCTCGCCAATAAAGAAGTCGCATTTGTAACCGCGCGGCGGGGATTATTAAAAGGTTGCGCGCAAAATGGTCCCCGGAATATACGGTTGCCGTAAAAGGACAGAATACAAAGGAAAGTGCAGGGATCTGATTTAGAGAGGTGGTAAGAAACCTCCTTTTCAGCGTCATCCTCGTTAGTATAGTGGTAAGTATCCCCGCCTGTCACGCGGGAGACCGGGGTTCGATTCCCCGACGGGGAGACTCTACTTTTTCTCCTCTCAAATAAACATAAATTTCTATTTATTACAGTAATTTCATTATTCCTTGGGTCTTTTTTCTTTATTCTTTTATACAAAAGCTCGTTCTCTTTCATGAGCAAAAAGTGCAAGCCTGCAAGAGGGTTACAATCTCAAGGGTAATGGAACAGCATTTAAAAATAATAATA